CCTACCCCGCCTCCAGAAATTACCAAGTGTAATCTCACTTGGTGCCTGCTAGGCCTCCATTCTGCCTGTGGTTTTTCACTTAGTCAAGAGAGCAGCCTTCAGGGCTAGGGGGATCCTAACAGGAGATGACACGCGTCCTGCAAATGTGGAATCAATGTCCATCCACTGGGGATGATTAAACAAACTTGAGTACGAGGCAGTGGACTGTGTATGGTTTCAATGGGGATTTTTTTTTTTTTTTCTCTGTGCTGGTGACTGAACCCAGGGTCTCACACATGCTGGGCAAGTGTTGGCTACCCAGCTCAAGGCCCAGCCCAGAACATATGCTAAGCACATGGGAAGCTGTACTTAGGAGCGGCCACAGTGCTCCGCCATGTGCAGTCAGCCCCCTACATGGATAGCCCTGCCTCTGTGGCCTCAAGCAGCCATGGAGGGAGAATATTCAGAAGAAAAATAAACTGCTTCTGTATTGGACATGAATAAATAAATTCAAAAAATGAAATTTAAAATAAATCATGCAACGACAAAAAGGCAAAATAATAATTCTTAGAATCATTGAGTCTGACTTCTGGGTTTCTACAATTCTTTGTCCTTTTTTTTTTTTCTTCCTGCCTCAGCTTCCTAACTGTGGGGACCACAGGCATGTACAACTATGCCTAGTGGTTTCTATATTGTCACACCTTATTATTATCATTATTTTTACACCTTAATAGTTAATTCTGGGGGCTGGGGAGATGGCTCAGTGGAATAAGCGCTTCCCTGGCAAGCGCAAGGGCCTGAGTTCAATCCCTGGTTCCGCAAAAAAAAAAAAAAAAAAGAAAAAAGAAAGAAAAAGAAAAAAGTTAATTCTGGCTCTAATCCACGATGCTGCAGCTGTTACTAGGACTCTGGGGTTTCATGCTCCTGAGGTCGTCCTGAGCCAGCCTGTGACGTGCACCCTCCTTGCACCAGTTCTGTGGTCTCTACCCAGGAACCAAAGCCCCAATTCGGATGCCACCAGGAACCGCCGTGACACACGGGGCCATATTTGGGGGCACTCACCTCAGCGGGGGACCGCAGTTGACCAGAGCAATGGTCCTGCTGATGTAGGTGTCAGGTGGCAGCTCCCGGATTCCCGGATTCTCGTGGAATCGCTCTACACGCTGCTGGAAGCTGGTAGAGGGACAGCAGATGGCAGGGCCCACACAGCCTGTGCTGCCGATGACCCCGCACCTCTGCCCATTTTTTCTTTTGGTAGTGGAGGTTAAACCCAAGGCCCACACACAGCACACAGCCAGATCCCCAACCCTTTTAAATTGCTATTATGATTTTTTTTTTTTAATTTTCATTTTGTGACATTCTTGGAAGGTCGCTAAGCAGCCCAGCTGGTCTCATACTTGCAGTCCTGCCTCAGCCTCCCCAGTGCTGGAATTCCAGGCTTGTGCCATGCTGCCTGCTCCTGCTCACCCGCCCCCCTGCAGACTTGAGTTTCTGAGGCCCAGCTCCAGGCCTGTCCTTCCCCCAGCCCCTTACCTCTGCAGGAACTCTGCCAGCCCCCCCAGGCAGCAGTGTGCCATGCGCTCCCCTAATTCTTGGCTGATGCGGGGTGCTCTCTCCGTGTGCTCTTCCAGCAGCTGCACAGGCCAGGGGGACAGGCGGTGAGGTAGGGCGGGCCTCTCTCTCACCCCACCTCATCTAGTAGATCCCCCTTTCTCCTGCCTCCTACCTCACACACGTCCTGGGCCAGACTGCTGGGATGGTCCTCCAGGTCCGCCCAGTGCTCCTCGTCCTCCTGCAGCACCCGAAGCAGGGCAGCCCGAGTCTGAGCCTGGAGGGGAGGGGAGGCAGGCAGGGTCAGGGCCACACAGGTCTCTCTCTTTCTCCCACCAGGATCCCCTCCTTCCATAGCCCCAAGCAGCATGGATTGTGCGCAGAGCCCCAGGCTCAAATCCATGCTGCTAAGAATGAGCAAACCTGAGCAAGCTTGCCCAGCCCCCCGTTCCTGGGTCTGGGGTTTGAAGCTTCCTCCACATAATGGCCATGGAGTTGAAAGGCCTACATCTCACTGTGGGACAGTGCCAAGACCCTGCTCCTCGGTCCTGCTGAATGACTGGTTCATGATTGTCATATTCTGGGGTTGGAGAATTGCAAACATTTAAGCATCTCTGATGCTCCAACCCGAGGGGTGGGCTTCATTCAGTTCAGTAAGTGGGTTGAGCTAGTCATGTTTGATTCCCTGGGAGTGACAAGGACCCAATTTTCATGGCTGGGGCAGGCCTGACACTCAGATAGGAAATGACACTGTTGCCAAGCTGGGCATGGTGACCGGGCCACTCTGCTCAGGCGTGCCTGTGCCCAGCCTGAGGTAACCACGTTTACTCTCAGCCTCTCCTGGGGGTGGGGAGGCAGGGCTGCTTTGAGGCTGCCACTAGAAGCGCGTGACTAGGGCCAGGCTCCTCTTGCTCTGAGGTTTGAAGACCCCTGCCATACTGGACCTTGGCCAACCTTGGCCAACCATCCCTACTCCCCAGGGTCAAATGCTTGGGGTGCAACATGGGATATGGAAGTGACCAGGCTGGGCTTCTGTGGCTCTGAAGCTCACAAAGGGAAGGAACAGAAGAATGGTAAGGCGTGGAAAGACCCCCAAGCCCACCATGAGCCCTCGCCCTCTACAGAACCCCTCTCAGCCCCAAGTCACAATGCTGAGGCCCAGGTACCTTGACATCTGTGACACATTCATCCTCCAGACCCCGAAGAGTTCCAGCAGACAGAAGGGGCCCCAGCTCCCCATTCTCCAGAGCGACCATGTCTACCAGTCCTAGGACCTCCCTGGGGAAGGAGGGGGAAAATGGGGAGGTTTATGAGGGGGGAGTGGGTGATGGGACACATCCTGGTATCCTCACACCCACTGTTTGTCACCCTGGGCCACTCCCTTCCTCTCTCTGGGCCAGCTCTGCTCATCTAAGAGGAAATCTTTGGAATGGCTGCTCCCCTGGTTCCAGTTGTCTGAGTCACCTGATGGATGGTGTCCGGGCAAGACTTCTGGGGTCAAGTTCAGGCTTGATAATCTGACAGTGGGACATCGCTCACGGTTACTTTCTGCAGGCAGAAGTTCCTGTCTGCCTCTGCTCCTCTGCCTTGGTGGCCCCCACCTTGTGTGATCCCGCATACTCCTCCTCTGCCCCCTACATGCCTGAGCTGGGAACCCCTGCTCCTCCCACCCTGCTTTCTCCCCATGCTTGGCTCATGGCATCCTGTCCATGAGAAACACCATCTCCTTACAAATCCGACTATTTGTACTCAACCCTGTCACACAGCTCCAGGAAGCTGTCCAGACTCCCTGGCCTTCTTCTTCTCCTGGATGGGCTGAGCTGACAGCCTCAGTGACATGTGTGTCCAAATGGGACTGGTGTTTTCCTGACTTTGGCAGAGGAACCACCCACCCCTTTGCTTGCCAAGGTGCGACCGGGTATGGCTGAGCCCCCTGTCCTTGGAGTGGACCTGTGTCTCAGGGGACAGCTAATACCCTATCATGTCCCCCAGTCACAAGAGAGGTATGTTTTAGGGCTCAAAGTTTCCATGGATTTCAACCTTGGGAGGCCAAGTACCCTGAGGTTCTGGATGCTACAAATTATAGCATCTGAGGGGCCTACAGTGTAGTAGTTCTAAGCCTAGGAGGGGGCCAGGGAGATGGCTCAGTGGAATAAGTGTTTCCCTGGCAAGCGCAAGGGCCCAAGTTCAATCCCTGGTTCTGCCAAAAAAAAAAAAAAAAAAAAAAAAAGAACAAAAAACTAGCAGGAGCAGTAGGGTCAAGGTCTAGGACCCAAAAAGGGCAGGGGGCTGTGGGGTGGGATAGGAAGGCTCGCTGGCACTACAGCTTGAGAGTTGAAAGACTCATAAAACCACAGTGCTAACATTGAAAGCATCAACAGTATTAATGCCCCAAGCTCTCTAGAGACGGAGCCAGGAGAGACAGAGCACTCTGGAGTGCTAAGTCTCAACAGTACCAAGCTTGAGGGTCAGCAGCGCTTAGGTCCGAGCACAGGCATAGGCGGTGGGCGCGAGGACTCCAGGGATCTGAGACCTGCGGTCTCCACCACAAGCGTCCACAGTGCACAACTACCTGGACTGCCCTGGTCCACGGTGCTGAGATTTCAGTTTGTGTATTTTGTTGGGTGCTGAGATTTTAGTACTGGAAGACTGGGTGGGGCCGGTGGTTCTAGGGCCAGCCGCTCAGGTGGCGCTGTAGCTGTGAGAGTCAAGCTGCCTGACAGTCTGGGAGTGGAACTGTTTAAAGCTTAAGTTCTACATCTGGGGGATTCATGAGACTCCAGGAAGGGGAGGGTGGGCTCCGCTCCCAAGCCGGAAGTGCAGGTGCAGACAGGGCCGAGGTCTGGCCTGGAGTACCCCGGAAGGTCCCTGACGAAAGGGTCAGTGTGCAGAGATGGCAGGGCCCCCACCTGATATGCACAGAACCCTTAGGGCCATGGGAGCCAGAGCTCTGTCCCAAGGTCCCTGGAGCCTGCAGCGGTCGGGCGGGGGTGAGGCTGGGGGCTCCACGACATGCCAGCGCCGGTCCCAGCTCACCTGGGGTACACCTGGTTGTGCCAGTGCAGTAGCGCGTAGCGGTCGGCCAGGGGCAGCCTGCGGCGGGCGGAGGCCCCCAGCCATTCGGCCAGCGCGCCGTGGTAGCCGCGCAGGTAGACGCCAAAGGCGCCCAGGCCGGCGGGGTAGGCGGGGGCTAGACGGCCGCGCACCACGGCCATGTCCTCCAGCAGCCGCGCACGCAGCGCCTCCAGCTGCCCCGCCAGGCCCCCGGGGGCCCCGG